ACACCGGAAGATCCCTTCCCTCCAGCTCAGTCCTGTGGTGTCTGGGAGGTCCACGGGGCGATAGCAATTGGCCCCGATCCAGAACAGAGAGTTGAGCGTGGCATCGTCCAGTGCTGTTTTTGCGGCGGTCTTGCTGAACTCCCACGCATACTCTACGAAGGGAAGATCTCTGTGGGCTGGGGCGATAAAACGAGCGGCTACTTCCATGCCACGGGGAGAAACACACAAGAAAACAAAAGACTTTCAAAAGGAAAAATAAACACGGGGAGAAGGGGCGCCGCTTACTGTCTTGGTCTGGTATTCTGTCACGTTGCTATTGTTTTGGAGCGAGGAACGAGGAGACAAAGTGTACATCAATAAGGAGATTTTAATGACTTCAAGGGAACCAGGAAAACACACGTAGCTGAGAAGGTTGACACATAAATATAAATACACCAGGAGCAAATGAAGATAATTAATGACACAGCTGGAACTAATGGAACTAATCAGGGAACATAATGGGAACAGGAAACAGGAAGGACCAAATAAGGGCATAAGGAAACACATGGGGAGCAAAACACACACAAAACGTGGAACAGAGTCTGACACCAGGAAAGACAAATTATAATGTAAAGAAGTATGAGGGTCATTCATTAATGTTAATGATTATAATTAAAAATATATATATATTTCTGTATTGTGTTATATTTATATGTTAGTAAGTGGTGTTAAAAATAGCTCTAATAAGCTGGTGGGTTTATGGTGTGGAGGGCCGCTCTGTGCTAAAAAGTCCAGGCCCACTTTTTAGCCCCAGTCCGCTCCTGCGTCAGATACTCTGATAAAAAAAACATCTGTTTGGTTTTGATTATAATGTCTATCGCGCTGAAATCATGTGTTTTAAAGCCACATTAATTTAAACTTGTGATATAGTGTTTTCTGAGCACACACATCCGAAGCATACGCACAGAAAGTGGCTCTCACATGGCATGTGTGTACTAACCTAAGTTCTCTTCATGTTTTATTTCACTTAAACAGTCAAATACACAAAAGTTTATGTTAAAAACACATGAGTAACAAAAACAGTCTGTTATGTCTGTGAATGTAAACAGCTGGGAAAGAAATCACATGTGTATATTAGATCTGTGTGGCAGCAGCGTAATATAAAGTAAATAAATAAATCCATTGCTCTCTTGTCTCCTCTGAGGCTGGGACTCTAAATAGTGTTCTGTGCTCATATGTGCAGCTAACGATACCCATAGGAAAGAAAAATCAAAAGTGAGATATCTTTAACATCTCAAATATTTCTCCTAGACAGAAATGAGGTTACTTTAAGATCGAATGGAGATTTTTGCTTGAGTCTCCTGCTTCTCAAACTTGTCTCCTGAGACAAAAACTCTAACACTCTCACAATGGTCTACTTTAAAGCTTTAAAATAGATCTCAACAACATCACACGCTGTGCTCAGGCATTTCGCCTAGTCTAAAGACTCTGGTGGTCTCACATTTGTCTCCTTTAAAGCTTTAGAAGAGATTTGTATCCTTAGCTATACAGACTCTGGATATCTCACATTTGTCTCCTCAAAAGTTTAGATTAGAGATCTCAACAACATCACACACTGTGCTTAGATATTTCTCTTTAGCTAAATAATCTGGGGGTCTCATATTTGTCTCCTGTAAAGCTTTAGAAGAGATCTCAACAACTTTACAAAATGTGCATCGAGTGAAGTACTTGAAAGGAACTAAATAAAGGGGGAACAATCATAAATTCAGAGTTAAAGGCTATATTGAGAGAGAAATTATGCAGAAATAAGGATAATGTTACTTTTTATGAGACAATATTTATGTACTTAGGAACATCATTTGTTGTTGGAAATAATGTACCGGATGCCTTAATCAAAACTGATCTACAAAAAATGTAACCCTGGAGCTTTCTTTGCTGAAAGGTACATAAATGGCTTATGACTCAGTCTTGATTATTAATTGACTAATTTGATTATTAATACATATTACATGGAAGACATGTTTGAGCTCATATTGAGACATTTGACTTGGTGCACACTTTGTAAAGTTGTTGAGTGCACACTTTGTAAAGTTGTTGAGATCACTTCTGAAATTTAGAGGAGACAAATGTGAAAGCTCTCGAGTATTTAGTGTAGGAGAAAAATCTGAGCACAGTGTGTGATGTTGTTGAGATCTCTTCTAGTGCTTTAAAGAAGACCATTGTGACAGTGTTGGAGTTTTTGTCTCAGGAGACAAGTTTGAGAAGCAGGAGACTCAAGCAAAAGTTTCCATTCAATCTTAAAATAACCTCATTTCTGTCTAGGAGAAATATTTGAAATGTTAAGGAGATCTCTTTTTTATTTTTCTTCCCTCTTGTTAGCTTCAATGTCATTTATCCACACCATTTCAATCAAAGACAATACATGCATTGTCATATTTGAAGTTGTTTTATGTAGACAGTGTTTTCTTGCACAATGATTTAACAGAGGAAACCATAACCTATATTTACATACATGCAACAATGGGCTGTACAAGACAATAATGTAAAGCTAAAAAAACACTGGTACACTGGTATAGTGTTACATTTGTTTAAAAAAAGGTATTGCTCTTATGCTAACCCTCTTGCACTTGTAGCCATAGCCTTGTGGGCAGCACATCGACGTGAAAACACAACTGCACCCCAGGCAGCATGGGTTCGAAGCCCAGCTAAATTAATGTTAATGATTATAATTACTTTCCTGCTCCTGTCAAATTGTTTCCTGTCTCTACTCCTACTGTCCTGACCATTAAAGGTGAAAAACCCCATTGCAATCAAAAAAGCAACCTCTGAGTAGTAAAAGCTTGCAAGATATTACAGCAAGACAATAAAGAGATCTCACACGTTTCTCTCCCATTGTCATTTTGGATTCCTTTCTTTCAGAACTTTCCCATGTCTCAGTTGTGTCTACTTTTATTGCCTAGGGATTTTTAGGAGAAACATCTGAGACACTGTTGAGACTAAAATGAGAAATACATGAGAATCACAACTAAGTCTCCTGGGGTTAGAAAGAGCAATCACTGAGCAATAACATATTCCTTTAATGGAGTCTTGATAGAGATTGCAGCAAGACAATAAAGCGATATCCTGTTTCTTCCACCAAATTCTCAGTTTTGACTCTTTTTTTTCTCAAATATTTCTCATGTCTCATTTGTGTCTAATTTCATTTCCCCTATGGAATTTTAGGAGAAACATCTGACATGCTGTTGATACTAAAATGAGAGATATATGAGAATCTCATCTAAGTCTCCTGAGTTTAGGAAAAGCAACCACTGAGCAATACATTTTTCCTGTGGGTAGAATGGTTAGCATGCTTTGCTTGAACTTTGGCATGGCGCTAGAACTGGTACACCGTTGTTGCTTGCTAAAACAAGAACGGCGGCGCCGTGAGTGGAAACGTGCAGATGAAGGGGCGGTGATATTATAATTAAAAGCACTTAAAACCGGAAAAAGTCAGATTTTCATGATATGTCACCTTTGAAACACATTAGACCTCCTTAAATCATTCAGTCATATTCTTTGTAGTGCTGAAACACTTGTAGGCCTACTATACTATTTTTTTCTGCACATATTAAGAAAGACTGATATGAATAACGCAGCTGAGATTATACATGATATTGGTGTGCCACCTGCTGTCTGACCTGTTTTAAGTTAGAAAAAGTTGAAATAATATTAAATCCACATAAAACTAATCATGAACTGATCGTGCCACTTACATTCCAACATATGTGTTTTAATTTTTTAAATTATTATAATAGTTATTGTAAAAGTGAGTAGTTGACCTAAAATGTGTCGTTATACTTTCTTCTTAAACAATTTATTGTACTATTTAATATAATTGTATAATTGTCATACATGCAGTTTTATTATCTGATATTATTTAAGACACTGTAGAGATTTCTACTTTTAAAATTAATTTTCAAAAAGTCAATGTCCATATTATGTAGAGGCTATCTCTCACACAGGGTTAACAATGGCAAACGTGAATGAATTAATTAATTGTTGGGTTCTGCTTCCATCTAGTGGTTTTGTGTTGAATTTCCAAAAAAAGATTTTAAACACCCAGCTGGTTCCTAAAAGCAGTTAAGGTGGACTGTCAACGCTCTGAACTTGAGGATTGACTAAAAACTATTCATTAGTTCATAATATGATGCATATTCATGCATAAATGAACGTATTGATACATTGCCAATATGTCACTTTTGAACCTGTACTAGTTTTCTACAGTGATTCAGTGATTCTGCATAATAAGCATAAAGCATGTGCTTCAGAATAATGAAATCTAACTTTATATTATAGCCTAAGTGTGAATCTTCATGTTTTATAAGTCCACACTCCATATCCATTATGCTCCTCTAACTCAGAAAACTTTGTGTTTGTTCTCTTTGAAGGTCACTGACCGACTAAATTAAATTTGATCCATTAAACGCGCGCGACACAAACTATTTCCTCCGAAATTAAGCGGTAATCCGCTCCTTATTAATTTTCAATGGAGTTTAAATCCACACATAAAGCGTTTGGGAGCCGGTTTGAGGAGCGGTCCACCTTAACAGCGCCGCGGCTCAGCTGTCCCCCTCTATCCGAGCCGCCTGCGCTTTTTCCCCGCAGCCGAAACTTCAGTCAGCTGGTTGCCATCTCTTGTGAGGAGATTCTTGTCTCCTGATGTCCTCAGTAACCTTGTGTTGAACTGATATATTACTGCACTTAATCTTAGTGTTTTAATGGACAATTTAAGTTATATAAGCCACGTGAATGCAAAATGCACGTATAGACCGTTTAAAATTACTAATATAGGAGTCAGAAGAGAAGTTTTGGGCCGTAAGTGTTGAGCTCTGATGATTGATGATTGTGGCTTTGCTCCAGCACTCTGTTGCGTACTAGATGTGGCTGCAGCAGATCAAAGGGGCTTCAGGAAAGGGGTGGTCCTGCATTGGAGCATATATAGAGAGCCGGGTTCTTGCTTCTAAGACAGGAGATCTGAAACTCGAGGATACAGTGAGGGAAATTCTCCAAGACCACTTTTGATGGTTTTAAAGACTCTTCTAGTGATTTTCACTTTTAAGTGCTGCTAGATACTGCGATCGTTTTATTTATTTCCATTCGAAGACCATTTTAAGCTCTGGATTGGTGCCTATTAGCTACAGTTCTCTGTTTGTTTGTTTTTTTGTTTGTTTTTTGTTTTCTGTGATATTTGGTTTACCTGCTTTTGGAGTCAAATTCTCAAAGAACTGAAACTTTGTGAGGATTTTCATTGGGTCCATCATTATTTTGTATTTTGCTCTTAAAACCCCAACAGGAATATGATGTCTTTTTTGCGCGTCATACTGGGTTTCATTGCAGCTCTGTGCGTAAACGCGGCGCAGAGCTCGTGGGAGGAAAGCACCGTGGTGCCAGTCCGGCTCGATTTGTACGACACCGAACCGACCCATACAGCAGAAGCTCGGGAAAAGGAATCCGAGAAACGCATCTATCGCTTGGACGTCTTTGGAATTCGGATGGTGTTGGTGCTGGAATCGGACCAGACCTTTTTAGCGCCTGGGTTTGTGTTCCAGATGGTCGGAAAATCGGAGTCCGAGGAAGTTGACAGCGCGGGAGAGGCGCGGTGCTTCTTCTCGGGAACCGTGAACGCAGAAGAACTTTCCGCTGCGGCGATCAATCTGTGCCATGGACTGCGGGGCGGCTTCTATGTTGGCGGCGAAGAGTATTTCATTCAACCCGCAAACGCCAGCGGAGAGTCTTCAGATGGAGACGCTCATTTCATTCGCAGAAGAAAACGGGGGTTCTTAGCCGAGGAGAACGGTTCGAAGTGTGGGGTGAACGAGGAGGAGGAACGGATCACCGAGAAACCATATGCAACCAAATCCGACACAGAGCCCATCTCATCCGAGTCTAAAGGTAAATATTGCAGAATAAAATTTCATAATTATCGATCTTGTACCAGAAAAATTTCGTCGTACTTTATTATTATTGATCGTTTAAGAGTTTTTTTTTTTTTTTTTTTTAATATTTCGCACACGCCTCTGGTAACCCCATTAGACTCGGTGACTCCGCGTCATTCGGTGCGCGCTGGCGCATGAGGAGCGAATTAAGCAGGTTAGAGAGTTCTGCGTCTGCATTAGCTCATTATACACCAAATCGCGTAATTTAGTTGGGAAATACATCAACTGCAAACATCACACATGTTCCGTCTGCCCGTTTAAACTCATCTGAAAGAAAGAAAAAAGAAAGAAAGAAAGAAACGTTTTTCTAAAGTGCAGATAAACCGTCTCCAAAAGCGAGGCGAGGGTTAACTTGGAGAGGGCAAAAATCTCTACACATACGCAGGAGGAGGGAAGGGGACATAGGGTTGAGGGTTGGGGGAGTGGGAGTGGGAGTGGGAGGCGGGAGAGAATGGGTTAGAAAGACGTGGAAGTTCTCCTCCTGGTACCGCATGTTGCGCAGATCAGCACCACAGGACTGTAGGTGGCTTGTATTTCCGCCAACATTTCTCGTGAAAGTGTGCAAGTTTTGGAGACTTTATTAGCAGGGCGGAGCAGAATCTTAGTCAAAAGAAGAAGCAGGCATGCTCCGCATTACCTCCCAAAAGCGTTCTATCTTTTCAAGTACACATAAATTCTTTAAATACACTTTTCACTCTGATAAAGATTGAATCTGATTTAGATTTCACTTTTTAAATAATCTGTTGACTAATGGCATTAATGATCTTCTCATCCTCCAGCACACCACAGATCTCGCCGCTTTGTGTCCACTCCTCGCTATTTGGAGATCATGATTGTGGCAGACCAGTCAATGGCAGAGTTTCACGGGGCTGGGCTCAAACCTTATCTGCTGACCATCATGGCGGTGGCATCTCGTCTATATCGACACCCTACCATTCAGAATTCGATCACTCTGGCCATTGTGAAGCTACTTGTTGTTTATGATGAAGAACACGGCCCCCATGTGTCCTCCAATGCAGCGCTTACACTTAGAAACTTCTGCCAGTGGCAAAGACAGCACAACCCATCAAGTGACCGGCACCCAGAGCACTACGACACAGCAGTACTGTTCACCAGACAGGTAAGTTTCACTAAGTATACCACTCCTGGTCTGGACGACAATGAAAACTAGTAATTATGTAGCATGGCTCATATTTATGAACGCTGTTCGTTTCAGGATCTTTGTGGAGCTCACTCCTGTGACACTCTGGGGATGGCAGATGTTGGCACCGTGTGTGATCCTGATCGAAGTTGCTCTATCATTGAAGATGATGGTCTGCAGGCAGCCTTTACAGTCGCGCATGAGCTTGGTAGGCACATCCCCATGTTCCTATATAAAAACTAAAAACTAGGCAGGTGCAGAGCAAGTCAATAATTGTGCTTCTCTTGTAGGTCACGTGTTCAACATGCCCCATGACAATGCTAAACAATGTGCTAGTGTTAATGGCGACCAATGGAATGCCCACATGATGGCCTCAACCTTGTCAAATCTGGACCAGCTACAGCCCTGGTCTCCTTGCAGTGCCCTGATGGTCACGTCCTTTCTGAACAATGGCCATGGTCAGTGTTTACTGGACAAGCCCCAGAAGCCTCAGCAGTTACCTCAGGCTCTGCCAGGTTCAGTTTATGATGCCAACAGACAGTGCCGTCTCACATTTGGAGAGGAGTCCCAGCACTGTCCTGACCTGAGCACCACTTGTGCTGCCCTTTGGTGCACCGTCACATCTGCAAATGGCTTGCTTGTCTGCCAAACCAAGAACTTTCCATGGGCCGATGGGACATCTTGCGGGTCAAACAGCTACTGTATGGCAGGCCAATGTTTGAGCAAGTCTGAGGCTGCCAAATATCAGGTGAGCACCATTTGGTGTGCCATTTGTTGTCATATGTAATTGATGCAATTCTGATTTGTGACTGATGATGGTTCTGTCTTGTCATCTTTAAGACTCCAGTCAATGGTGGATGGGGAACCTGGGGACCTTGGGGAGATTGCTCACGTACCTGTGGAGGAGGTGTGCAATACTCTTTCAGGGACTGTGACAATCCCCTACCCAAAAATGGAGGCAAATACTGTGAAGGCAAGAGAATTCAGTACCGCTCCTGCAACACTGAGGCCTGCCCTGATAGCAATGGTAAGGGATAGTCCTATCACTGTTCCTGCAACCAATGTAACCAGATGCAAAGCCGCATGATACTCAAATGTATTTGTTTGCACAGGTTTGACATTCCGTGAGGAGCAGTGTTTGGCCCACAATGACATCTCCTCTCAGGTGTCATTTGGCTCAGGAGAAGGTGTCAAGTGGGTGCCAAAGTATGCTGGGGTGTCTCCCAAGGACCGCTGCAAGTTGGTGTGCCGAGCAAAGGGAACAGGCTACTTCTTCATTCTGAAGCCAAAGGTGAGTGTCCCAATTAGACAGACCCACCAAGTGTTGTAAAATCTAACAATGGTTTAGTGGATGCAAGTGTACTACTGCCAATATTTAATCTGAGGTTCCTTCCAATACCTTCAGGTGGCTGATGGAACACCATGCACCCCAGATTCCACCTCAGTTTGCGTCCAAGGCCAGTGTGTGAAAGCTGGTTGTGACCGGGTCATTGGCTCCAATAAACGTTTTGACAAATGTGGCATCTGTGGAGGAGATGGATCGACTTGCAAGAAAGTTGCTGGATCAATGCAACATGCTAGGTAAGTCTAAAATCTGCACCAAAGATTTTACCTGTTAGTTAGAGTTTCCCAAAATAACTCAAATTTTGATTTATACTAACCTTTGCTTGTTTCTGAACTTTAGAGCAGGCTACCAAGATGTAGTGACAATACCAGCTGGCGCCACACACCTAGATGTTAAGCAGCACTCTCTTGGAGGTCGCCGCCACGACAATAGCTACCTAGCAGTTCGCCGGCAAGATGGCACGTACCTACTGAACGGTGACTATAAACTGACCACTTTAGAAACTGACATATCTCTGAAAGGTGCACTGCTGCAGTACAGTGGTTCCTCTGCCACACTAGAGCGCCTGCGAAGCTTTGCTCCCCTACCTGAGCCTCTTACTATCCAGGTGTTGTCAGTCGGTGATTCCCCCCGACCTCGCGTAAAATACAGCTACTTTGCGCCACGCTCCAGCGGGTCAAAACGGCCATCTATTAACGTTATTAGTGAAGCAGGAGATGCCGAATGGGCCCTACGTGAGTGGGGACCCTGTTCGCAGACCTGCGGCGGTGGTATCCAGAATCGGGACGTCATCTGTCTTGATGCTTATGGCCGCCAATCAAAAGACTGTCCTGAAGAGCTGCGCCCTGCTTCGTCACAACCATGTGCTCTGCATGCTTGCCCATCCTGGTTGCTTGGGGAGTGGTCTGCTTGTTCCAAAACATGTGGCAGAGGCTTCCGCAAGCGCCCACTGTGCTGCATCGGACATGATGGCCGCACTTTGCCTAACGAGAGCTGCAACGCAAAAGATCGGCCACGACCTCTTCTAGATTTGTGCAACCTGACTCCCTGTTGAAACTGAACACTGAGGCTCGAAACAACCTCGAATGGCTGTAAGTTGCACCTGGTGCTGACCAACACAGGTTTTTATATTCAAAGGGCCCATTATGACAAAGACTGCAACCAAACTTATCTCAGTGTTTCAATTCCCACCCATCCAACACTGGGTACAGGGCACAAAGCTGGCACACTGTGTACCTGTCTTGACAGCTGTGATGGAGGATGAGAATACGGACGCCTCTGCTGCTTTGGATGCTGATGTCATGCATGTTAGATTTTGAGTGTGTATGGGTGTGTATGATGATTAATGAAAGAGTGCATGAAACAGCTATGCATTTTTATCGTCTGTCTGAGCTGGACTAGACAGACAGGATTAATTTGTCACAAGAGAGCATATAGGAACATATAGAAGCTATTGCCGGGGTCAAGAGCAGTACTGAAACAGAAGAGTTCATTAGTAGTGTTATATAAATGCCCTCTAGTGGTTCTCCATGTCAAAGTTGCAAACGCTAACTCAAAGCACATATTCAACATATGCATTTTTCTTGCCAAAAATCAACGCCATATCTCACCTCAGCTAGGCACGCATGCTGCTAATCAAACACCACAACAGGTATTAAGCATTTCCTCATAACTAAGTTTAACAATGCACATTAGCTTTAAGTTTAGCTTCCTAGATTGATATTTTCACCATTTTGCAAAGCCATACCCGATCAAGAGGGATCATATTTTTAACGGAGAGGGAGACCAAATCGCAGAGGTTCAATACCTGAGAAGACAGTGTGTTTGTGCGTGTTTATGTATGTGTCGGTTAGTTCTGTGTGATTGTATGGAGATGTGAGGGGCTTCTCTCCTACTACTTCATAAGTAATTCTCTCCTGCCTTCTGAGAAGGTATCTTTGTAATGAGGTATTTCGTTTTGTACAGAATGTCCAACCGTTATTTATTTTTGTACAGCCCATTTAATATAATCTTGTTGCTTTTTTATAATTATTGTATTTCTATTTGTTATTATTATTGAAATTACTGAAGGATGTAGATTATATTAGAGTATTTATATATCTATGAACTTAGGTTTATGAATAAAGTATCACATTGATTTGTGGACCAAAACTATTGAGATGGTGTCTTATTTTGGGTGTGGCTGCTGACATTGAAGGAAGCACTATAGTCTAAATCCTGGTCTGAGGACCCCTAGAGGGTCCTAAAGGTACTACATTATTTTTTATATATATTATATCACATCTTGCATTTTTAATGTGGTTAATCTCCTCTAGATGAATGGAGCAACAATAACATCTGAAGTCTGAACACAAATTGATACACATTGATTGTAAATAAATGTATACATACAAGTGCAAAAATTCAAGTACATGCATACATCAAAATAAATTCAAAAGAGCATCAACATTATTAGATCTAGTCATGACAAGTATCAGTACAAAACTGCTGAGTCTGTCTGCTCATATTACGAACTAGACAAAGAAAGTCCACCGCTCTAAATTAAATCAATTAATTAGATTAATTCAATCATATTAATTAGCACTCCCAACAGCTGTTCAAAGAAAGCCTACATGACCGGCATATTCAGCAGGACAGGTAATAATCATATCAATGGTTATAACGAGGAAGTCTTTTGTTATATAACAAACTTTAATAATTTAAGAGGGCACTGTGGGGTTTAGTCATTATGTTACAAGGGTGGTTCAAGTGGAAGCTCATTCAGTCCCCAGTCCTTCTGCTAAATAATACATACAACCAACTGTTCAGCAAAATAACACACAGCAAGGCCTTTTATACTGAAAACCTTTTTTTCTGACAGTCTGAAAACTGGTTAATACAACAGGTTGGAACAAGAAAGACGTAAATGTAAATTTGTAAGATGCAAGATGTAAACATTTACTTTCCCTCATATGTTCATATACAAGTTACGTTCGAGCAAGGTTCTCAAAAACATGTTCTCAAAACATTAGAACAAAAACTTTACAATGTAAACCTGGACATTCAACTAAAATGTTATTACTTGTTTCAGAATGCTCAGAGAACATTCAAACAGAACATTTCAATAATGTTTGCAAATTATAAAATGTAATGTTCCTTTAACGTTCACATAACCAAGCATAATTTATATTAAAGGGGTCATATGATGCTGCTAAAAAGAACATTATTTTGTGTATTTGGTGTAATGAAATGTGTTTATGCGGTTTAAAGTTAAAAAAACACATTATTTTCCACATACTGTACATTATTGTTTCTCCTCTATGCCCTGCCTTTTTGAAACGCGTCGATTTTTACAAAGCTCATCGGTCTGAAAAAGCGAGGTGTGCTGTGATTGGCCAGCTATCCAGTGCGTTGTGATTGGCCGAATACCTCAAGTGTGAGACGGAAATGTTACGCCCCTCACGTACTGTGATGCCGTGTCCGGCCGGAGTGACGAGACATAAACATTAAAACCCATTATAAACGAGGCATTTGTTGCATCCAGTGGGGACATAATTATTTATAAAGAATATCTCTTTGGTTTTGAGACTTTGGTGTTTGCAACTTTACAGATCTTCTTTATGCACCAAGAGCTTGTAACACTCCAAAGAGAAAGGAAAAATTGAAATCGCATCATATGACCCCTTTAAAAAAAAGTTGTTAAATGTTCAGAGAACATTCAGAAATATTTTCTTGAGTTTACGTTCTTAGAACATGTTTGCTTACTGGTTCCATATCAACTATCCAAATGCAGATTGACTAGGGGATCGAGTCACTAACTCATAAACAACTAGAAAATATATTATTTTTATTGTCAACAAATTCTAAATATGTGGTTGCATTCTACTGAGTGGATTCAAGACAAGAAGATGTGTTTCTATAACAGGCCATCATTCACACCTATCTTTTCTACATATTAAGATCAAGTGAATTAGTTATGAAGATCTGGGCCTATAAATTCTATGAATTACAGTCTGAAGCACGTGTATTTGAGATGCTTTTGTTTGGTGTTGAGTTCAGGTCAGGGATGTTGCAGATTCGTGAAAACACGATTGAAGATAGATCTAAATATAGACTTCAGGGACACTAGCGAGAAGATGAGACCACAATTTGGCGCTATTGAAAAGGGCGAAGTGTTCCCAGAATTATCGTGCGCCTCTTGTGTTGTTCCTGAGGTAACCGGCCACATTAACGCTCGTGTGATGAGGAGTCGTGACAGCGGCGGCGGGCGGCTGTTCACAGTCGCATCTAGACCGACTCCCTGCGCGGCTGGGCAAAGTTCCTGGGGGAGGGGATCGAGGCGAAGAAAAGAAAATAGAGCAAGGAAGACGTTAAAGACAAAGAGGAAGGAGTCAAAAGAGAAGTTCTGACTGAGAGACTCGTGAAACACGTGGAGCGTTATGGATAAAATAGTTTATTTTAATGCCTGAAACCAGAACGCGTGACAGTCAGAACAACATCACAGTTTATAGTCAGATTTAAGACATGGCAGAATGAACGATCAACTGTGCAAATATTAAATAACATGTGACAGTGGGTTAGACGCGTTTTCCCAGGGATTTTCACCAAAAAAAAAAAAAAAAAAGAACCTTACCGGAACATTATGGAAAATCCGAGGACAGCCAGTTCACAGAAGAGTTGGAAGTTCGTGCGGGACTCTCTGCTGCTTTGCTTCTTTGCCGGTAATGTATTTTTATATTTGAGAACTAGGAAGTAAATCAATTAAACATTTGACCGATTATTTGATTTAAATAAACGAGCAATAACATGCAAACAAACAAAGGTTATTTACGTGTTATAGTAACTCAAAATTTGAGGTCGTAAATACATTGCAGGCTTCAGTTTTCATTATTTGACTTACGGGTAAATTAAGAAGTTCTCAGTTGTCTGTGTAAAAATTAATGATTTTCGCTAAATTGTTTTTTTTTTACACTGATGACAAAACTTGTCTTTGTAAATCTTTCTAAAGCTACCATGGTAATACAGATAACAAATGTAGGTTATAAAAACGTTGTGGGAACATTTGAAATGTTTCTAAAACGTTGACGTGCAGTTTTCTTGTGATTAGAATTATTTAAGTAACAAATACGTTTCTTAACGTTCTACTCACTTCCTTTTCACCCAAAATATAACATTATTTGAAAGTTTATTTTTAATGTTCTAATAACCTTAAAATGTCCAGATTCTCGTGATTATAAATTTATTTAAAGGTAAAAAAAAAAAAAACGTTTCTTAGAACGTTCAAGTACAAATAGCATCACAAGGACGTTTTGAGAATGCTGATCTTTAAAAAATGTTAGTGAAAGTTTTGACAATGTTCCCTGTTAGCTGGGAATTTACAAACTAAGGAAAGTTACTTATGAGTTCCCTAGTTAGTAGTTTACAGGCTACAGTTTTATGGTTATTTTACCTATGGGTTAACTAACAATTTCTCTGTTGTCTGTGTGAGAGTTAGTTAATGACTTTTCTCAACTTTTTGACACTATTTTGAAAAAAAAAAATCTTGTCTTTAAAATGCTCATGTTTAATGCTACCATGGTAATGCCATGGTATTCATTGAAATACATTGGAGTATTAAGAAAATCTCATGGTATATGGACACTATTCATTCAGTACCAGACTGGTACCATCATACAACTCAATTCCGGAGTTTTGTGATTGACCTATCCATACACACATATTGGAGGGAAGTGTGTGTGTGTGTGTGTGTGTGTGTGTGTAGTAACATTTAAAGCACCAGTTCTTCTAAAGCGTCTTTGTCCCAAAAGTGTTGACCGACAGGACCCAGAGGTAAAATGAGGGCCTCTAGGGGACCACCCAGTCTGCAGGGCCCCACATTTGCTCTGAGAAGCCAGATGCAAACAGACACCACTCAAACTGAAGCCAAATT